AAGCACAGCTCTGGGAAGGCTGTGGAGTTGGAAGGAGTGCTATGATTGCAGGTTCCTGGGCGGATGCAAATCATGAACATGAAACCAAAAGAGGACTGTTTTCTTCCTTCTTGTGGAAAAAATCCCTATGGCTTGACAAGAAGAAACTTCTCTCCAAAATGAGCTGGAAAAAGGACTATTTCAGTTGGGAACTGACTGAAGTAGTCTTTTGTACCTTTGTTTTGTTGTTATGAGGGTTGGGAGAGGGAAGGAAGGAGTGGTGTGAAAATCTTATTCTGAATTTGGTTTTTTTTCCCTTCTTTGTGTAGTTAATAAATTTCTTTTTATACCGTTTTAAATTTTAGGTCTGCCTTGCTTCTGCTCCTGGTTCTGTCTCACAACAGAAAATGAGTATATTTAAATTGGCAAATCAAAACCATGACATAAAGTGAAAAGAGGGAGGGTCTGAAACAAGTAAGTCAGCCCTATAATAACCACTGGAACAAAAATCAGACATAATTGCTGAATAAATCAAACCAGCTAAGAAAGATTTTGTTTTAATCAGCAACTTTGTTTTCACTTGGCCAGACCACGTAAAACTGCACAGCATGTGTTTGCAGGGTGCCCTGTAGCTTCTGCCCCTGCTATGGCTTTGCAGCAAGTTGAAATGCATGATACAGCCTTCTGCCAAATCAAGGGAGGAAGAGGATACAATACAGCCTACAAATACTGCCTGACCTCACCTGACTATGTGACAGCACTATGTGACTATGACTATGTGACAGCACTTACTCTTGCTCCTACCCTGCCAAGCTTCCATATGATAAAAATGTATGTTTAGCACAGAGAATTACAGGCAGTTTCTGCAGGTTAGAGCTGACCAGTGTCATAGCCATTGTGTGTACAATGCACACACAAATCTCTGAGGTGCCCACTTTGGGCAATCCTAAGCAGTGCCCCAGGAATCAGCCCAGAGGTAAAAAATTTTGCAGACCTGCTGTACAAGCCTTTAATAGAAAACCTGGCTGGTTTTGTTCATGTGCCTGGTGGGCTTCCTGTTACACAAGAGGGACCAGACTTTCCTGATATAGCCTCTGGTAATTACAGTAACCTCCTTCAAGTTAAAACAAACTTACAAGAGCTGCAAAAAAAGGTCAAAATAGTCCCGTTGGCACATAATAACAGGTTCAATTTCTAACTTGAGTACAAAACGGACAGCATTTTCCATGCTGACCATGCTCTTTTTTCAGGGAGAGTGTCCCTTTTCTGAGCTCCAAGGCCTTGAGGACCTCACAGGAACTTTGCTCATGCTTTAACAGATAAAATGCATATTTAAGAACTGACTTCACAACTGCTGCAAGCTGCTGAACCCACACAGGGCAGCCAGGAATCCACACTACTGAAATTTACTTATCCGTCAGGGAAAAGCAGCAGAAATAAGAAAGCCCTTTCTCCTGCTCAACAGTTGGTTATTCACACCAGGAGGCATTGTTTCAAAGCCCAACTTGACCATAACATGTTTCAGTCATCTCATTCCTATGCATCCCTCAGTACTCCATATGAAGGAAGAGGAGGATTTTTCTTACCTTCTGTGTGCATAGGGAATATGAAGGCCAACCAGGCTGCAAGGATAATGGCCACCACCCACACCAGTACCCAATAAGTGCCTCGTCAGACAAAGTGCTTCAGAGGACACCCTTGACTGAAGTGCTTGTCTCCCTTCCCACTTCTCACAAGATGAGCCAGCACACACTATCTCACAGTGGATCAAGGTCTGATCTTGTGGGGACTTAAGCAGCTGCAGTGATTCTTCATTTGAGATGACAAGCATGAAACAGGTCTACCTTTAAGCCTGATCTGTTTCCAGGCTGGAGAGTCAGCCTCCTTTCCATACAATGCTGCTTTCATTTCCCAGGTTAGATCACATTTTCCCATCTTGTTCAGCAAAAGTGAGGTGAATAATAGACTATACAAGGGCAGCTGGACCTTTCTGGAACATGGAATGTTACAAGGATTCAATACACAAAAATTACCACAGGTCACAGCTGTAACAGAAGTTTAGACTACGATATTTAGACTAAGGATCTGCCAAAAGCAAGTTCATTTGGATTGTCTGGACCTCTTATCCCCATTGTCTTGATAGGGGCTTTTTGTTGTTTTTTTTTTTGTTTGTTTTACATGTGGAAATCTGTTTTCAAAATCTACCAGCTTGAGGCTTTGTGATATGAAGATAATGTCTCCCTAGCACTCCCATACAATGCCAAAGACTAAACACTCGCTTTCTTTAGCAGCAACTCTGCCCTGTACAGTCTCCTACTTCTAGCAGTTATGGTTCTAAGAAAAGTATTTAAGTTCCATTAAGATTATAATAAAAATCAAGTGGAGAAGCAGCAACACTGGAAGAGTACTAATGTATCTTCAGTTGAAACTCCACCACCATTGAAAAGTAAAGTTCACAGGATGCTGTTCACAGCAATTATAAAACACCATGCATCAAAAAGCTTACCTCAGTACATGGTTTGTATCTACACTCTCTAGTGTTGCAAAATGTGACACATCCTGACATTTTTGCTTCTTTCCTTCATGGGGGACTATGCAGAAAGATGCTTGAAAATTTTCCCTAGGAGAACATCCTGAGATAACAAATTCATATGAGAATGCTTCAAAGCACATGAGAATGCCTGTCTCTGATGTCAATTAAAGCTCCCTCCTTTTCCAAATTCAAATCCTGAAGCAAGAGTGGCTTTAAATACTTATATTAGGTAGATCCTGTAAAAAAATTAAGCAAGGAGTGTGTAACTGCAGGGCAGCTGATTGCAAAGCAGATATAGCAGTTAAAGAAGTAACTCTGGGAAGACTTTTTTTAGAGCTTATAAAATACTGCAAGTATATTAGTAGAAAAAAAGACAGTTGGACTAACCTGGATTTTTATGATGTCGCATGAAAACAAAGAAGAGTAAGACGAGATTTCTGGAAATTGGAAATCCAACTGCCTAATTCACTTTTAAATACAAAGCAGAATTTAATTAAGGAAAAAAAAATTCTCCCTATTGAGTCAGTAACCTTTAATTTGGCATTCCTGAGTGTACTTTTATGTGCTCTTTGGAAACTGAGCTTGTAAATACAGAAAAGTTTCTCTAAATAATGAAAAGATACAACTGCAGCTTATGTATAGGATAGTTAGCTTTTGATTTATTCATCTATATATACAGTCTCAGAAGTATTCTGAACTTCTCAGCCCTGTTTTTCTACTGACATTCTTTTAAGGGTATTGGGATATACCAGAACTGTGCTTTATACCACAGGAAAAATACCAGAAGATGTTAAAAAAGTTAAAAACAAAATAAAATCATCCTTTAAGAACTGTACATTGGGATCTTTATGGTGTACCATAGCACCAAAATATTGCTTTGCTAGCATATCTGACTCTGGTTATTCTGATGCCCACACAAGCAAGCAAAGTAAGTTTTATTCTCAGCTTTAAATCAATAGATTAAAATAAAAAGGTTATAGACTAACCATAACAGGATTAGATCTTGGAATGAATTGAAAATCAAATCAGATCCCTGTGTAGCTTTCATATCCCTGCTGTAACCAGTGCCTGTTTGTGCAAGTGAAGCTGCCATTTCTACAACCTTTCATCCACACAGAACATATGGAAAGCCAGACTTCAATTTACTGTCTAATATACATAGATATATTTTTATTATTTTTTTCCATGGTTGGCTGAATTTTATATAAACACCATATATATAACAATTCAACTGGAGTCCAAGACAATTATGCAATCTGTTTAATCTGTTGACTAGAAATCTGGAATAACACATTCCTGAGACTTGCTCTGTTGGAGGGCTCAGTCATGCAGCATTTCTAACTTAGGATGCTTTCTCACCTCACACATGGCTTTCAGGAACTGACAGGAATACCCAGTATGGTGCAGAAATCAACCTTTCAAGACTGCACCAAATCTCTTTTACAGCACAGCATTGCGGATGCCCCAAACCAAAAACCAAAAATCACAGCCAAGACTGCTCACATGATGCAGTCAGGTCAAGCAGATACACTGGAGGGTATTAATGCATCTAAACTCCACCATTTATTTCAAGTATAAAATTAGGAGGCCAGGTTCTTTCAGCTACAGAATCACAAGAATGGATCAGGTTGGAAGAGAACACAGAGGGCTCATCTGGTCCAACATCCCTACTCAAGCAGGACCATCTCAGATTACATAGCATAGGATTTTGTTAAGACGGTTCTTGAATACCTTCAGTGAGGGAGACTCCACCACTTCTCTGGGCAACCTGTGACCCACACAATAACCCATAATCACCCATACAACAACCAAGTTCTTCCTCATGTTCAGGTGAAGCTGTGCATCAGTTTCTGCCCTTTGCTTCTTGTCCTATTGCTCGGCACCACTGAGCAGAGCCTGGCTCCATCCTCTTGGCACCATCCCTTCACTCACAGGCATTTCAGTTGTCTTTTCTTGAGGCTGAACAGTTCTTAATATAGGTAATGGTAGGGATAGAGGCTCTTCAAGGTGCTTAGAACTCAGTTTCAGTGTTATCAGGTCCCAGAACTTTACCATGAATCTGAAATGTATTTGTGAACAGCCTTGTTCATTTAAAGCTAACAGTCATCTTCCAGATCTTTCTTTTCAGATGCTAACTTCCAAAAAATTGTGTTCCACATTTACTGCAAAGGCTCAAGAAAAACCCAAGAATTTATAATTTAGGAGAAATTTAAACAACCTCACAGATTTTCTTGGTGAGGGGGGAGGAATGAGGAGGCTGACTCATTATTATTTTTTTAATATTTGTGGCTGGCTCTGCTGCATAAATAAATCAATCCTCTAGCCATCCAGCTCCATTTCTTCAGTCACAGCTTCTTGTTTTATTTATTTTTTTCCTCCATTGCCAACAAATCACTCTAGAGAGTTTTTAAACCCAGTAGTATACTTTCCAAATGCAAACAATTAGTACAATCTGCGAGAGAGAAAGCAAACAACACCAGAGACTTACCCCATTTTTTGGGTAGGCTATCCATCCCAGATCCCCCATTACTGTACGTGAGTCCAGTAAATTCACTGAAAATAGAAGGAAAAAACTGTTAAATAAGATGGATGGATTATAAACTTCAGCATATATTTCAAGGTATAGATGGATGGCTCTGGTAAACAGACTGTTTATCATTAACCAAGGAAGTTGGATTTCTGTAAAGTAGAATAACAACGCAATGACTCCTCTAACAATGAGATCATACAACGGAAACAATTCTATGCAAGCATTAGCTTATTCCTTTGAGATCTGCCACTTCTGTGGCAAGTTGCAAATACATTGAACTTCTGTAAAATCCAGATCCTTCCCATTCTTAGGACCTTGATCTTCTGGGGGGAATAAGTACATCATACACACTGTGTGTTTACATGTATACATAAGACATACAGTATGTAGGTATAAATATACACTCACAAACATCTATGCATGTTGATACACAAATTTCTTCTAAGTTGGCATGTATTTTTTGGCATAATCAAGCCCTTAGGATAAATATGAAACAAGAATTTAATTTTAGAAGTATTATATGTGCAAGTATTAATCTCATCAGGAATGTATTGTCTTCCTCTTCCACATTTTCCTCCAAGTCTTTGACATCTCCATTATAAGTTATGCAAGAGATCTTTTTTCTTCTACACAGAAAAATTAATGAGTAGTTTTAAGTCACACAAGCAACCAACAATTTACATTAAACAACCAAAAAAACCTATTCCCAAGTTTGTAACCTTTTTTTCCTCTCTTATTACCTGAAATACTGAGTAAAAAGTAAGAAGTGACTAGCTAAGTAAAATTGTAGCAGCTTCTGGTGCTGAGCTTTCACCTCCTGCACCCAGGGCTCTAAATCTCCTATGCAAAAGATTGTCTCTGAATCATCAATTGTCATCCAAAATCTCAATTTAGGAGCTTTCGTCTACCATAATAGCACACTTCATCAGATTCCAACACTTTCTTCTCTCAGTTTGCCTGCATAAGACCTCACTTTTTGTACTCATGTCCTTGAAAAGGAAGTGACTTCCCTGAGTCTTCAATTCCTGACCTCCACTCTGTGTGCTCTTTAAAAATCTCACTGGAAGTTTTGGTAGTTGGACTTTCAAGACTATCTAGCAGATGATTATCTAGACCAAGAACAAGCTTGAAATGGGTGCTGAGGCTTTGTTCTCCTTCCTTTAGAATTGCAACAATGTAGGTACTTAAAGATTGCTACAGAAGAAAAACGAACTGGTTGAATGGACAAATTTGAAGAAGGCATGTATCATAACCCTCAGAGTTACACCATTTACAGAGGCATAGTAAGAAAATCCAGAAGTACACTATACTGCAAAGCTTGTTCCTTTAAAATATTAAGGAATATTTATAAACAAATTAAGACCAAGCAACTGATTTAGTTTGAAAAAAACCAAAGTTTCTAAATCAATTTGGTCTTTACTATTGTACTGCACTGAAGGCTGGCTGCTGTAGTCCCTCACACACAAAACCAAAACACAAAAAATACAACACAGAGTCCTCACATCTGGCAAACATCTATGTTAAAAGTGATTTGTCTATCCAGATATTTTCACAATGTATGCAAATATTAATGCAGGACCCTATCACAAGGCATACATGTTCTGCCTGGTCAAATACATTTTTGTGATGTTGAGCAAAACACATTTGGTGGCTCAGGGTTTTAATTTCTGGATTGCTTTTTCCTGCCAAAAGAGGAAACAGTTGGAAGCTGTCAATGCTACCAACACAGAACATGTGGTGAAAGCAATACTCAGAGACTACACTGGACTATATTCACAGTAAGTAAGCATACAATCAGGTGGCTTTCCACCCCAAAGTCCATGCAAAATAAAAATATTGCTATCACCTACCACTAGATATGCCACTCAGTTATGCCCAGTCACTCCCCTTATGAAGTCTCCAGGTTAAACGGTCATTAATTTCTCCTGCTTCAGCTGAAGCCAAGCACTGCCATCCAAGTGCTCCTGAACTACATTGTATTTTCTTGGGATAAAAAGAATGACCTCAAAATATTCTTCAAAATAAGACACACATAAATAACACATCCTGTATTATAACTGTATACTAATTTAAAAAACAAGAGACAGCATTAAAGTTGCTAAAATGGCAGGTTTACTCAAATTCCTTCTATTACAATCACTGTAATTAAACTGTGCAGAACAGTATATTCCTGTCGTTAAGTTGCAATGGATGCAAAACAAGTATTGATCTACATTGTACAACTTAATTAAAAGTTGTCCTGGAGATGCTACTAATGAATGCAATTAGATGCTGTGTTTGATGTCACAAGCTTCTTCATGGCATGCTAATAATGAAAAAAGCAGGAAAAGTACTTTATTCAAACACCAGATCATAAAAAGGACATGATACAACTAAATATTGTATTATCTTTCTATCAATGACAATTTTTAAATTGCTGTTATAAACTTCAAATTCAAAATCATTTTCTGCATATGAAAATTTAATACAGCCCATTCAACTCTAAGTCAAGTCAGTGGGAATTTTCTGACTAGTGAGTCAGCTAGCAGCAATGAATACCAAATCCCCAGCTCAGAAAGACTCAATTCTTCTTGTATCCTCTCGCATTCTGCATAGAGAAAAATAAATAGGATGGAATACTCTTTTTGACATGCACAATGCAGTAACTCAAAACTGACGTGCCAGGAAGGCAAAAGTGACCAGTGACATGAAGCTGTCCCTGTGTCTGGGCTGCTGTGGAGACCAGAGGGGCTCCCACCACAGCTCAAACAGCTCTGATGGGCTGTAAGGCACAGCAGACACAGACTGCCCCATAAGCATCTGCTCAGGGCTGCTTTCACAGTGTAGCATCTGAATCACCACACTGCATCAATCCGCTCTGATGAATATATTTGGCCAATAACCTAAGCCACCTCCAAGGGCAGAGATGTCTTGCTTTGAGAAGCCCCAAAATTCTAATATATAAACACAAATTATTGTTTGCTCCATCAAGATAGGTGTCTGCATCTTCGCCATCACCACCCTCCCCAGTCACTTCCAGTATGTCTGTCCTTCACTTGCATCATTTCCGATTGCACCACCCCACCCCAATGCAGCCTCAAAACAGGGCCTCAGTATCCCCCACTCCAAGGGGGGCTGTCTCCTCCAATAGTCCAGGCGCAGGAGTTTCCTGTGGCAGTGGTGCTATGCATACTATAGGGATGTTCTCTCAGGCAGCCTTCCCGTTCTGCACTGCCAGAGAGGTCACTGGAACACACACTGGTCCCACTACAGCAGCCCAGACAGGCTCAGCACCACTTCTCTTTCCATCACCTTCCAGCCTGGCAGGCATATTACTTTTGCTGAAATGGTTTTTATCAAAACAAATGCTAATTGGCCAAGCTGGGGAAGAATCAGCAAGCAAGCAGGAGGTAAAATAGATACCTGGAAGAGAGGAATACGGGAACAGAACCAGTTCTTCCCTATTCAACCTGTGATGACTGTCAGCACGTATTTGGCTGTGGCTGTTTATTAACAAAGTAATCCAAACACTCAGGAAACCAAAGGAGGTAATTCAGGAACACCTCCAGCTATGTGCGAAAGGCTCCATATTCCAAAAGGTCTAGTGCCAGCTCCTGTGTAGCTGGTAACTCCTGAACTCGCCCCAGCACTGCCTACTTCATGGGCATAACCCAGAGCTGTATCCAAGGAGCAATTGGGATACTGTGGACCTAACCCCGCTGAAAAACAAAAAAATCTCTTCAGAAGTTACTAGCAACTCTGCTTGGCACATAATCTTCAAAGGCTCCAAAATAACATAACTCATTTATTCCCACGTCCTTTCTCCTCAGCAACAGCTAGCTTTATCTCAACAAAAAAGCAAGAAACCTCAGACCCCATAAGCACACACTTAGTACCTGTATCTTTGCCAGCAAACTTGGAAGATAATATATTTTTTGCTCATCTCCACCCTAAGTGCATCCATCCCACAAGCCCTAATTATTTCTAATGCTCAGTCAAGGGGAACACAAAACCACACAGATCTATATCATCATTAACTTCCATCCCTTCAGGGTAGGATAAATGATGATTAAGTCTAAAGTCATACCACAGCCCCACCCCCCTTTTTTTTTTAATACAGAATAATAGCCTGGGGAGTTTGCATAGACTCTTGTTCTTAGACAGGCTGGTTACTACAGGTGAGCAATCAAGTTAGAGTAAAAACAGATGTGATCCAAACCTTTGCCCTGAACTCTAGCTGGTGGATTAACTGTGGTTTTTCACTTCGGAATCTCTGTCAGGGAGCTGGATATAGCTTTTTACACAAATGTCCTTGTCACACAAGATCACACACATTTAGCAGCTTAATCATGGCTACACAGGGACCGTAGTTGGGAGGAAGAACATAAAATGCCTGGGCTGATGGCATTCAACGTTGACCTAAACCAACACTCCACAGTACAGTAGAGCTCCCACCTGGCACAGCCACCTAAAACAGGTGGCAGCAGTAGCTTGCCCAGGAGAATGCAGGACAGGCCTTTCATGATGGTACAATGCCTGAAGTAGAAGCTACCCATTGATGGATTGCTTTGATCACACCACTGAAGTGAGATGGCTCTTCTGGCTCTGGGCTGAAGCAGAATCACCTGGAGTATAATTTTTTCTTCACTCCAATTTCAAGAGGGGAGAAAAAAAAAGCTAAAAATCAAAAATGCCCCACCAACAGTCTAGAACACTGAGTATTTCTGATCCTACAAGCTACATATCCTCCTGCCATTTCAGTATCTAAAGATCTTCCAGGAAATCCTCCATTGCTTATACTATGGCAGTCTTTGTAGGCATACAAAAATGGAACTCTTCTGAGTTGCCATGGTCTTTGAGCTGATTTCCAATAAATCATACACTAGAATAATCCTGCTCTTCAGTAGCACCATTTGCAAGCTAAGGTTTACCACAAAGCATACTCTACCAAAGTATACTCTAAGAGCTCTAGAATAGGCAAAATGGTCGGGATAGCAAAAGCTGATGGAATTTATATCATGATAAAGCCATATGTAAAGCCCTA